TAGTAACCTAGCTATCCTTTTTTGTTTAAGTAGGCTGATTCATTAGTAGAGTTCAAGGGTGACATGAATCAGAATGCAAAGCTTTTTTTGAGATTTAGCTTTTAGATGTGTTTTTGCTTTTATCCTGGAAAATTCTCAGTCTCTCTTTTAGTTAACATCACTCAAGGCCACATACAGCCTGCACGCTCTGCAACCATGTGTAATAAAAATTATTTTACACCAGTGATTCACTTAACCACATAGTTTAATCAGTCTAAGAACTTTATTGTTTGTTTGAAGTAGAAGTCCGACTAGAACTAACTAAGCTTAAAACTGCTCTTACCCACTTCTAACACCTATACTAACTACCTCGTAGAAGGAAAATGCCTATACTAGCACCATTCTCAGGGTGCTCCAGTCCAATCATGTGATCCGCTCCCAGTGGCTGGCTTCAGGGGAGAAGGGGACAGCCCCATAGTAAGCCTATGGGTGACGTTACCACCCAGGCATTCCATCCGTTGTTGGCACTCTGTCCTGAAGCCAGCCGTTAGAGTGATTAGGTGACCAGACTGGAACATTTTGAAAATAGGCAAGCATGTTCATCTTCCTATTACAGTGTAGTTAGTATAGGAGTTAGAAGGTGGGTGGAAACCGTTTCACACATAGTTAGTTCTAGGCTGGACCTCTACTTTACATGTTCATATTTGGAAGTTAGTTATTTCATTTTGCTCAGTCACACAACCCAAACCACCTTCCATTCCAAAGTGTCTACTTTACTAGAATTTAGACCAGTCTTCCTCAGCCCTTTTACCTCAGAAGATCCCCTAAAATAATTTCAAGTCTCAGGGAACCCTTACTAAAACCAGTCAGGGGTAAATGCAACCCATATGGTGACAGCCAGAATGCCACCTGTACAGGCGGTTTTAAAAGATTATTGTGGCATGCTGATGGTTTTTCCAAGTAGACTTAACCCTGGAACTATGCAGGCATCATCAGATAGGAGGTCATTTAGCCACAGCTCAAAGACCCCTGGCAACACATGGTGGAACCCTGGTAGAGAATGGCTTAGAATAAAGCTGAGTATACACATAAATATTACATATTGTTCCACTCAATCCTTCCCAGTCTCAAACTGATGGTCATCAACCAGGTACATGACAGCATCTTGATGCAGCAATGCTATCCTAAAAAAATAAATGACAGGTGTACTGCAGTACAGTATGCATGGACAACAGTTGTCCGTCACTCATGTGATCAAATGACACAACAGCTGAGGAAGGTAGGATTCATGTGTCTGCACTGCCAAACACATTCATGTACAAATATGATAGTCACTGAGAAAAATTCATCTTTGCATTACCACAGGTTCCCATGTGGACGGCACAATTATACCAGAACTGTTGTGCCATAAATGTTTGTATACATTTGCATATCCCCAAACCATTTTTGGGTGCCATGTACAATTGTAAGTTTCTTCTATTCTGTACTCTTTTCATTGTATTACCTTCTGAATGATAGATTTTAGGTAATTTTCTTATACTTATATTTTGGACATTGGTTAAAATAAGCTTGATAATGACCCTCTACTAACTTTGATTATATTAGAAGAAATGTGGAGTTGCATTCCACTTGTTGCTTTAATGTATTTCTTTTTAATAGCCAATTTGTAAAGCCGCATAACTAGGGAAATAAATACTGACATTTTTATGTGATAGAAAAGCAAAAGGTAATACAAAGTTGTGTGCAGGACAGACTCCCAGAAGTAAAAGGTTAATGTCCTATCTGTGCTCTGTCTTGTGGTTGCTGCTGAGTCATTAAACCTGTCTGGCTTCCTCTAGTGGAGGAAACCTGGCAACAACTGTTCAATTGTTAGTGAGAGTATGCCAGAGGTAGACACCATGTGGAGTCTCAAGTCGGAGTTGTGCTTAGTTCATTTATGGATATTACATCCTTGTTTTAGTAAAGTTGATGATAACTTACATTATTCCTTTTCCTTTTAAAAGGGCATTGTCAACAGCAGTGCTGGCAGAGTGCAGGATAGCACTTAGTATAAAAGCTAGAGTTAGATGGCACACATTGAAACTTGGTATACAAGTGGGAGTTGTATGGCACACCCCAGCACTTGGTATAGAAGTTGGAGTTTGATGGCATACCCAGGCACTTTGTATTCGAGCTAAAGTTAGATGGCATATCCTGGTGCTTGGAATAAAAGCTGGAGTTGTTTGGCACATCCACACACTTGGTATGGAAGTTAAGGTTGAATGGCACGCCCTGAGATTTGGTATACTGTATAAGTTAGAGTTAGATGGCATGCCCTACTTGGTATAGAAGCTACAGTTAGATGGCACATCCTGGTACTTGATATACAATCTGGAGTTGTATGGCCCATCCCAGCATTTGGTGTAGACGTTAGAGTTGGATGGTACACCCCAACACTTGGTGCAGAAGTTAGAGTTGGGTGGCACACCCCAGCACTTGATATAGAAATTAATTTTGAGTGGCACACCCCAGCACTTGATATAGAAATTGGAGTTGGGTGGCACACCCCAGCACTTGATATAGAAGTTGGAGTTGGGTAGCACACCCCGCCACTTGATATAGAAGGTGGGAGTTGGGTGGCACACCCCAGCACTTCATATAGAAGTTGGAGTTGGGTGGCACACCCCAGCACTTGGTATAGAAGTTGGGAGTTGGGTGGCACACCCCAGCACTTTATATAGAAGTTGGAGTTGGTTGGCACACCCCAGCACTTGATATAGAAATTAGTTTTGGGTGGCACACCCCAGCACTTGGTATAGAATTTAGAGTTGGGTGGCACACCCTAGCACTTGATATAGAAGTTAGAGTTGGGTGGCACACCCCAGCACTTGATATAGAAATTAATTTTGGGTGGCACACCCCAGCACTTGATATAGAAATTAATTTTGGGTGGCACACCCCAGCACTTGATATAGAAGTTGGAGTTGGGTGGCACACCCTAGCACTTGATATAGAAGTTGGGAGTTGGGTGGCACACCCTAGCACTTGATATAGAAGTTGGGAGTTGGGTGGCACACCCCAGCACTTCATATAGAAGTTGGAGTTGGGTGGCACACTAGAGACTAGAGCGCCACCTGCTGGCTGTATAGTATACTGCTTTATATCACTATGCGATATAAACACGTTTTTTTTTTACTATAGAAAATACATTGCATTTACAATAATCGGCCTCAGCTGCAGCAATTACTGTTCACTTTTTAGGCTCTCCAATGGACTGCTGGATGTGACACAGCGGAATGATCACTTGTTGCACTGGTATAAGACATGCCTTACATCCAGTGCCTGTTAGCACAAAAACACAGCAAAGAGGACCAAACCCCCTTTGTATTACACTCATGTTAAGAAATGCGAAACTAATTGCGTATAAAGCAAGTTAAAAAAATGTATACTGCTAATAAACAGAAAAATATTGTCAGTAGTAACAGCTAGAAAGCTGTGCACTTAACATTTGCTTGCTCTGTATGTTGTGAATGGACAGTGTGAATTGTTTCGGGAAGCTTTCTTTTAAGGTGTACTTCATTATAATACTGTGTCCTAGCAACAGGCAGGGTTCCTTTGTGTGAATCCAGACTGGGGGAAGTGATTGGAGGATTATATTCATTTCTTCCTGGTTTATACAGCTGCTTCTGTTCTAGTCTTGTGAAATTTGACGGTAATGTTACACATACACTCGTTTATTCACAAAAAGATCTGCCTAATTGGTACAGAAATCTGAACACAAAGAACATATTATACTGTCATTTTTGCCAAGCAGTAACCTGAGGATTGTTTTGTTTTAGATGTGTAAGTGCTTATTTGTAGATTACAATCATTTGTCTTTATCTTTCATTCTTCAGAATTTAAAATTATTTTTAAAGAAAAATAGAAACCTTGTATTTCCTAGGGACTCAAAAGCTGTTCATAAGCATGAGACCCCAACCCTTTACACATCTGTTTTTGGAAGATGACAAGTAAAATCTGGATGGTATAGGTTGGTGCATGTGTAAAATTGTAGCACTGCCAAATCTGTAAACCTGGTAACTTCAAAATCATCTATTTCAAAGCAGGATTCAGCGGAACTCTAACATTCCTCCAAAGGTTGATAGGGGTTCATTGAGCTGTAGCTGCCAGACCCCAATTTGCCTATATATGTTACCTACATAGCTCCAAGGTCAGTGCCACTTGATGGAGCCAGCAGTATAACATCAGTGATCTTTAGGTGGCATTCTAACCAACACTGTAAGGGGTGCATTTTTCACACTGACCTCAAATTAATTAATTGGTTTTGCAGAGGTTCCTCAAAATTTCAAATTATTTCTCGGGTTCCACAGAGGTTAAAGGTTGAGAAAGATTGCTCTAGAATCAAAATGGTGCTGTATTCCTAAATACAGCATACTTAACTATTAAAAGTATTTTTACTGCTCACTGGTATCCCAATTATTCAATCCCCAAATATAGCATGGAAGAAGAATTCACAGTCCTGTTGAATCAGGCACGGCAAAAGATTTCATAGATTATGACTCATGAAAAGCTCACTAGCATAATCCAAGATTCACAAAACCTACTTGAAAGAGTGTTGAGTCCTTGGGCACATTATATGCACATCGAGTCTTTTGCACTTTGGGGGATTCAGCAAGCAATCTTCATTGCCCTTGTGGTCCTTTTTCTTTTTTGCTTCCCCTTTCACATTTCCTTTGCTTTTTCTTCCTTGAACAGTTTTGTCAGTCACGTTTGGCGATCTGTCTATGCTAGAATTGTCCTTTCCAATCTACTGATGAGGACAGGAGTATTTTTTTGTGTGCGTATGATGAACTATTTTAGAATCCTGGACTGTAGCGCTACTCCCTTGAGAGCTGCTGGATTTTGGGTCATCATATTTCCTGCAAAGTAAGGCAACACGCATCTTTCCAACTTCCATCCAGAGTCAGTAACTAGTCCATGGGCTTCTTTTTTTGTTGTTTTATTTGGAGTAAAAAACTTGGCTAGGGACTAGGGGTATATGCAGGGGCGGACTGACCATTTGGAAACTCGGGCACTGCCCGAGGGCCCGGGGTCAGTAGGGGGCCCCATGAGATGCCCCTGGTACCTTTTTCATAGGCTTTTATGAGTTTGGGCAAGGACACAGGGGCCCCATGATCCACTATTGCCCGGGGGCCCCATGAGTTGTCAGTCCGCCCCTGGGTATATGAGATACCTAACTTGACTTGAAACCATAACTCTGAGGACACATTTCCTAAATTCTGAACAAAAAGGATGGATCCTGGACTTTCTACTCCCTCCGGAGTGGCATCAGTCTCTTGACTGATCAGTAACACAGTCTCTGTAAACAGTACTTGGTCCCCTCTCTATATGAACCTCTTCAGACCCAGCTAGAAACTGCCCATCCCCCTGGCCGTCTTTGAAGAGTATCCCAGAGCAAGAGATTCTAGAACAGACTTGTAGCACTGTCTTAGGGAGAACTGTTTGGGTATGGCACCTAGCAGCCCTCTCTCCTGTAGGCCCCCGGGGTGTAGAGGTACTTACACTGTCCTGTAGCTTTGGGTAAACTGCTTTCAGACCTTTTGGTGAGCTAGTTTCTGTCCAAGCTTGCAGGCTGTGCTTCCTCAGTGGACTGTGGGGCAGTGGAGCTACCTCTGTCAACTTCCTTCGCCCATTCTTCCAACCTCCAGCCTGGAGGCAGAACCACCTTCTCCAGGTTCCCATCCCAGGCTGCACAGCAGCACATCTCAGCACTCTATTTTTAACTCCCCTGCTGGTCAGGCTCTCTCATATTTATGGGCTGAGTAGACCACCTTGCCAGGCCTCCTGCCAGGGGATTGGCCAGATTCCCATAAATAGGCAGATCAGCACCTTCTGGCCTCCACCTATTAGCTTCTAGAAACCTCTCCAAGTTTCTACAGCCAGGGGGAGGTATCAGAGGCCTGACTTGTAGAGCCCTCCAGCCTGGGCTAAAGTAAACTCACTGACTCACACACAGGCTTTTAAAGTGTTACTAAACCCAGGACCCTGCATCCACTATATCCGGTCTCCCACAGTACACACAACATGGAAATGCAATTATTTTAGTAAATATAAACTGCTAAATACCTTTTCTTATCAGCAGTTAGAGCAGTCTTGTGATTTCTATCTTTGTCCAGCCCAGCTCTAGCTAATGCTTGTAGGAGGAGTTTTCTTTCTGCTCTAGGAGGATGCAAATCCCCTGACCTCTGTCTGAACAGTGCTGATTGTCCCTCTGCTGATCACATGCACTCTCCCAAGAAAGAAAAACCTCTCTAGCAATATACACCTAATTGAGCATGTGCATGCCTACAGTTCAGTCTAGAGATAAGTGGTGGTCACTTGAAAAAGGGGAGGAACCGAGAAGACAGGATCAAACAGCCTTTTTACACAATGCAGAGCATTAACCTCTTATGTTCCACAGTGAGTATAACAAGCATGCATTACTGCATATACTAACTGATTTTACTGTTGTGGGTTTAGTAACACTTTAACAAGCCTCTAAATACACTACAACTATGTACACCAGAAGGCGCTACAGTCTTATACAACTTCCCTGTGTTTTTTTAAAGCCAGATCATTGTGCTATCAACTGTACTTAGAATTGTACAATAACCTTTTCTGTGGTTTTGTACACACCTATTAATATCTTAAATAAAAAACGTTGAAAGTAAAAATAAAAAAAGTCTTTACTGCACAAAGGATTTGCAGTTTCTTTGTGTATTTGTTACCTGTGCACCTGCAATCCGTGGGAAAAAAAATAAACTTTTTATTATCATTAGTTGGGGATACAATTGATATAATCGAATTTTGATCACAGATTCATACCATATTAAGGTTACAATGTTTCTTTGAATCTGTAATGGACAACACCAGGGGCGGACTGACCATTTGGAAACTCGAGCACTGCCCGAGGGCCCGGGGTCAGTAGGGGGCCCCATGAGATGCCCCTGGTACCTTTTTCATAGGCTTTTTTGAGTTTGGGCAAGGACACAGGGGCCCCATGATCCCCTATTGCCCGGGGGAATCATGGGGCCCCTGTGTCCTTGCCCAAACTCCTGGACAGCACCCATAACAGAAACCTTGATAACTCCTATTTGCTGATGTACATGGTTGTCATTTCTATTATTCTGTACAATTTAGATGAAGAGACTTAATCAAGAGATGAAATACTCATTATCATATTTAAGATGAATTCTTCTTGCATGGCAATTGTATTAAAAAGAGGAACCATGTGCTGTCCTATGGTTGTTTATGAAAAAATATGTAGGAAAGAGGATATTGGATGTGTGTGGGCAGCATTATGGTATGTCTATTATTTCCATAGTAGTGCAAGTGCTATTCTAGAGAGGAAGAGGGAGCTCTCTACAAACCAATCATGTTCACTTACCAACAGTAATTACTAAGAGCTCCTGTCTGTGGTAGACATGTCTGATGACAGTGACACATGCTTGATAACAGTCTAGAGCTCTGCTTGTTTGTCTGCATGGTCATCAATGACAAGTGAAGTGCTTTTGTTATCTGATTCTCTTCCATCACTTAAGCTGACCTTCCAGTAGAATTTTGTTTGAAATTTGTATTTTTTTTCGGAACTTTAATTCTCTAATGGTTTGTCCTCATGCACACTGGATGTTTTTACACTACAGTAAACTCCCCAGACGTTTTTGTTTGCACACATTTTGAAAGCTTTTTGGCAGGGGGTGTTTTTGGCTGGAAAAAAACCCCTCTTTTCTAGAGGAGTTTTTAGTAATTTTGCAATAAAAACGTGGGTTTTTTTTTTGCGTTTTTTAGCTTTTTTTAGCTCTTTTCAGCATTTTTAGTGTTTTTCAGTTTACATTTTTAGCAGAGTTATACTCCCATAAAATCTTGAGGCTCAAAAATGCTCATAAACGCCAGATAGCCGCTTTTTTTTTTTAGCATTTTTTTACAGCTTTTATCAGCATTAGAGCATTTTTAGCCCTCATGCACGCTTGACGTTTTGATAACACTTTTAACAGCTGTGTAAAGTCATGTTAAAAACTTGAGTTTTTTTAGTGTTTTTGTATTAGCGTTTAGCAGTGTTTTCCCGCGTTTGTGATTTTTAGTGTTTTTTTTACCCCCCAAATTTTTTTTGGTCAAAAAAAGTCTAAAAGCGGCGGTTTGCAGCATTTTACTGCATTTTGCTGCGTTTTTTCTCAGTGTTTTCGAGCTTTTTTACAGAAAAAACTCCTCTAGAAATCCACTGGACCTGGGTTTTTTTTCCTATGTGTGTGTGGACACATAGTATAGCATGCTGGGGAGTTTACTGGCTGTATAAAAAAACATCAAAAGCCAAAAACAGCCACTGTAAAAACGTCCAGTGTGCATGAGGACTTAGTATGGTCAAATCGATGAATGTCCAACTACCAGGGGCGGACTGACCATTTGGAAAGTTGGGCACTGCCCGGGGTCAGTAGGGGACCCCATGAGATGCCCCTGGTACCTTTTTCATAGGCTTTTTTGAGTTTGGGCAAGGACACAGGGGCCCCATGATCCCCTATTGCCCGGGGGGCCCCATGAGTTGTCAGTCTGCCCCTGCCAATTACTATGTAATACATTAAAAGAAAACACCCTTTGACTGTAATACAGTGGTTACAATTGCTGCTGGCCTCTTTCTGAAAATGCTAGATGACTGACTGGGTTCAATACTTTCAAAGTCACTGACCAGAAAAAAGTATGCAAGTAGAGTAAGTGAGTTAGGAAACATTGGAGCCGGAGGGCTGGGATGATATGCAGGCAAGTAGCATTATCAGAAGCAGGTCAGAAATGACAGACTCCTTATTTTTCCCAGCACAGATTTCCATTAATGTACAATCATTTACCTCTCTTGATACTGAATTCTGCTTTTGCCGTCTCAGAGTGCCGTTTTATGTATTTTTATTGTACACCTTAAAATTCACCAGTTACAGTAAAATTTAATCTAATTGCACTTGTAAATCCTCTCACAATTAGCTATTAAAAAAAGAAGTTTCCTTAGTTACCAGATTGACAGTTATAATTATTCTGAACATATGGTAATTACCCTTATGCAAGAGGATTGCTTGACTAAGCCAATTATCATGTATAATCACAATCTAGGAAACCTTTTTGTTCACATAATATTGTCTTATGTCTTTACACTAGTTAAATATCAATTCATTGGTGTCGTGGGCAGAAGAAAAATTTGTATGAAATGAACTAAAAAGGAGAGATTTAGGTTCAACATGAATTACTACATCTTAAGTATGTAGTTCCATTGTCCTAGAACATAAATATGGTGTTATATAAATTGTGGATTGTTGGAGCATTTAACAGCATGTAGTCATTTATTGAAAGTGATAATTCTTTTCAGGTATGGGTTTCTTTGACCTTTTCTTTACCAGAATATGATTTTGCTTTGCCTTTTAAATACTGTTCAGAATTTGGGCTGCCATAACTTAAAGTGATTGTATTGATTGATTGATATTTTTTTCTTAAAATAATAAAAATGTTATACTTGCCTGCTCTGTGCAATGGTATTGCACAGAGCAGCCCCGAACCTCCTCCTCTGGGGTCCCCTGCTGGCTTGTTATGGGGGCAGACATGCCAGCTCGATCCTGAGCCAGGCTATGTATGTCCACTGAAACATACACATCGCAGGTTGGCCCTCCCCTGCTCCCTCCTCACAGGATTTAATTGACAGCAGCAGGTGCCATTGGCTGATGTCCCTGAGCCTATGAGGAGAGAGGGAGAGCAGCAGTGGAATGAGATGTGGCTGAGGTAAGTATTTAAGGGGGGGGGGGGGGGGTGCATCTTTTTAAACATTTTTTATCTTCATGTAGAGAAGGAATTAAGCTTTAGCTTCACCCCCCTGCTGTATTTTTATTTTCATTCTATCTTATTATTTATGATGGGTTGTCAATAATATACATAACTCACACATCCAGCAAATCCAGTGTTGATCTGTTCTGATGCCATCTTCATTGTTTTTGTTGTCGGAAGCCGGCTCTCTTCTGTGTTCTTTTAATCAGCCCCCTGATGACATGTTGTTGGGTCCTCTCTCCTCCAGCATTGTGATGCCTCAGCTGATGTCTCCTGAAATATCTGGTCTAAGGTGTTTTTTATTTGTAAAGGTCCACTTTAATATACGTAAAGCAGACCCAAACTCCAACACTAAAATCTCATAACAATTTAGAAAGTTACAGTGTTTTTAAAGCCTAAAGGTTTTTTACCTTCATACATTCTATGCATGAAGGCCAAGAACCTT